GGTCCCTTCTCTTCCTTCAGCAAAACAACCCCTTTTCTTCGTCTTCACAGTCCCAATTTGATTGCCGCGGTTTTTGATGCAGCAAAATCAGCAACCGGAAACAGGGCAGAGCAGAACTTCTTAGAGTGAGTGTTCGAATCGAAGTGTATGATTTTATCGAACGAATTCACATTAGATTTTGAACATCATTGAACGCAGGACAGTAACTAATTGATCGTGTAAAATCGAAGAGGAAGCGATGGAGGGAACGAGAAGGGAAGGAAAGGGAGGCCGAGCTTGTGTGGTTGTTCTTGGTGATCTTGGTCGAAGTCCTCGTATGCAGTACCAAGCTCTTTCTCTTGCTCGCCAGGTATCACCGAACCGTTTTCTCAATTGAGTCTTAGCGTCTATTTATGTTTTCCCTCTCCTGTTGCTGATCATTGTCATTTCATTGCTCTCCATCTGATATGTAAGAATGCTCAATTTAGTTGCTCATTGTTGGTTCCGATAATAGAGCTACCATCGTGTGCTGATCTTTGCTAATAAGTAAGTGTGTTTAGTGGCGATGGCTTTCTCTCAATTGAGCTAGCCTAGCATGTATAATTATTAATGAGTTATTACCTGTTGTATGTTGCGTGAGCAACACCCTGGAATGGGTTAATGGCTTACTGCTAATTATTGGGTTATTGTCATCAGTTAGGGTTTTCTCTCTATTGAAGCTGGTACGCATAGTGATTAATAACATAACGGCCGATGTTTGTTAGGTTGCGATCATAAGTAAGAGTCCGTAGGGTGTAAATGTCCAACCAAACCTTCATATCCATACTTGCATAATAATGTATATTTTCAACATGTGCTCACATATATCTAGTTTTAGGCTCTATGTCTGTCTCATTATTGGAAATAAGCAAGGTTGGATTTTGTTTGTAGTTAAAGATTTTATCCAATTCTATACCTCTGAATGAAGTGGGACTGTGGTTGCACCTTTAATGCTAAACGAAAAACAAAAATATCAATGTTTTCTTTGATGAATCATGACTTTGTTTATAGCCCTATGAATAATTTCTTTAGTCTGAGAGAGTTCCGACATTGTCTTGAGTATTCTGTAGCAGTGTTTTTTTTTTTCTTTTCATGTTTGCTATTTGTGAAGTTTGTCTCCTTAACCTCTAGATAAGTGACTACCTTAGTCATATTATGATCTTGTGGGAACAAATAATTTTTGTTAGTTTTTGGAGCTGTAGGAGTGTAATTGGAAGACTTTCAATGATTCTTGTAGAGAACTTGAAGATTTCTTTGAGAGGGTGTGCCACTGTACCCTATTAAAAAGCTTTCATAATCACACTCCCTTATCAAGAAGTTATTTTTTGTAATTATCCTTTTGGTCTTGGGCCTATATGCCTGTTTTATGAGTTTCTTGTTACGTATTTCTAGTAAAGCATGGACTTCTTTGAAGGACTCCCATTTGAACCGTATAGCTTTGATGAAGTAGACAATTTAAACAAATGTCAGATCAATATCGTGTCAATAATTTGATTTTTAGGAGAATGTGGACCGTGATAATTTTGGAACATAAAGGGCAGTTCTTTAAATATAATGCATGGAGTAAAATGTTTATCATGCAATAAAGGTTTCCATAAATTTCTTCTTGTTCGTCTTTCAAAGGGACTGTTCTTTTTATTATTTTCACATCTAATTGTAATAATTTTGTTATTTTACCATTAACTCCATGGTTGATATTTTGGCTTTCATTTGATATCACAGGCAAATCTGGAGGTGGATATTGTTGCTTATGGAGGTTGGCTTGCTTTTTATTACCATAGGTTAATTTAAAATGTTTTGTTCGCATATTTATTTGTCTTTTTTATTACTGTCACTTCCACGTCATCAAGGAGCATTTGTCTTCCTGTTTACCTCGTTATTTTTCTCCCATTAAGTTATTAGGAAATGCTCCCATTTTATCACCCAGCCCTTTGAGTAACATCTTCACGTGCAGTTTGACCTGCTGGATGCAAGATGTTCACAATTTACTTTGAGAGCTCTATTATTTTATCATGTGTAGCAAGCTAATCTTGAAATTTGGGTGTTAAATAGGCTCTCAGCCCCACTCTGCACTTCTAGAGCACAAATCTATTCATGTTCATACCATGGTACTCATGTAGCAGCGTTTATTTTTTTCATCCTTATTTCTCCTTTTTTAAAAAAAAATGAAAATTTGTGTCATCTTGTAGACTTTCTCAAATGCCCCTTGTTGTTTATCACAGACACAGTGGCCAAAATTCCTTCAAAATCTGCCATGGATATTTCGGACTGTAATGCTACTGCTGAAGCCGCTGATTCAGTTTCTCATGCTTCTTTGGTTTCTTATTGTTAGAATTCGTTCTCCTGCCTTCTTTATTGTGCAGGTAAATAAATAGTTTTGACTTTATGATAAATCCAGCTTCTTGATTGCATCACATTTAGGTAAATAGTATATCTTTCTTTTGGGCATTGAGTCATCTCCTGATCTTTTTTGAACGATCTGTTCTCACAGCACAAGAAGAGAGACAGAAAGATTCTTGATTGTAAATGCATAATATGGTGCTTCATTTTTGTATGTTCTATAAATTGAAAATTTAGCATGAATTCATGTTTGATTGGTTTCCTCTCTTACCAAAACAAAAGTTGCTTCAAGTTTGTTAAAGAAATGGTCAATGATTGCGCTATAATTCCAAAATTATTTGTCTGTGATTATTTGCCTGGAAATGAGCAGATTATTATTTGTCTAGTTTTCTCTTTTACACTCTGACATATTTGTATGGAGCATGGACCGTGTTTGTTGGGATGTACATGTACATGCATTATATACAGTTATTGTTGTATATTATAAAAGTTGTAATAGGATGCAATGTTTGATGCATGTACTTTCGGCATAAGAATTGGAGTGTCCATACTTCTCCCTTTCTCCTCCCCCCATATCACTAGCATTTGTCCCCAATTTTCTTTTCGAATATTTGGGCCTTGGAGAAGTATGTAAAGTGATGGTTAAATCGACAGTTCACTGTTTGGTCCTTTTCCTGTAACTATCTGATATTTCGCACAAGTTCATTATCTTGATATAGCTTTCACACATCTTGAACTAGGTTAAAGAAATTTTTGTTAACATCTGCTTTTCCATTGTACATTTTAATAGTTACTGTTTATTTTCAACTTTTTATATGAACCATGTAATTTTTATAATAATCCTGCTTTATTGAGTGTTTTGTCTTAGGTACTAGTCTTTTACAAGTTTTTCTTCTCCAGAATCCTCCTTCTGTTCCTACATTAATTGCTGTGAAATGGGCTAGCATACTGAAGCGATCTGCATTTATCGTTGATTGGCATAATTTTGGTCATACCCTGCTTGCCCTGTCTCTAGGAAGAAATAGCAGTTTTGTTGCTGTATACCGCTGGTACTGAATGTTTTTCCCCTTTTGTTTTTCTGTGTGTGGTTGGCTGACCTATTGTTGGCTAAATTATAGTTTTATGTGTGCCTAGGATTGAAAAGCATTTTGGGAGAATGGCAGATGGCTCCTTTTGCGTCACGAAGGCAATGCAACATGAATTGGCTGAAAACTGGGATATTAAGTAAGAGGGTGGGACTGATGGGTAGATGGACACAGAGTCGTACTTAATCTAATATATCACACGACAATTTATTAAGTATTGTGAATATTTCTTTTCTTTTTTAAATTGTAGAGCCACAGTTTTCTATGATCAACCTCCTGAGTTTTTCCATGTTGCTTCACTCAAGGAAAAGCATGAGGTGAGTTGTGGCTCCTTTATTGGTTCCTTCTCAGAATACATGAGAATTAAACTAAATATGATGTTCATTTTAGTTGTTTTTTAGGCTACATAATAATCTACTTCAACCTCTTGGTTTTCAAGATTGTATTAGCTATGGTAAGTTCTACATTTCAATAAATTTCCCTTGTTCACAAAAAGTTTCCCTTGTTCATCAAGTTAAAACTGTAATTAGCAGGTGTAGGAATGGTAGACAATGAGCAGCAGGATACACTGTTAACAAGCCTGGTTGGCAAGGATATTTTCTTGAAGCCAAACAGACCTGCAGTCGTTGTGAGCAGCACAAGCTGGTGAGGTTTAACTTTTGACCTAATTTAATAATGCTTCTTGAAGAACTTGTATTTGCACTTCTTTTCCTTAGAGGTTGTTCTATGTTTGTACTTTCAATACACTTTTTTTTAATATATTTTTTGATTGTTTGATTGTCAAAATGAATATGATAGTTTATACTGCAACAGTGCAACTTGTCAGGGTATTAATATTTATTGTAAATTCCTTAGGCAGCCATTTGGTTGTTGAGAATCATTGGATGGGATGGCTATAAAACTGAAATGTAGATGTTTATATTGGGTATACACAATTGCACTCCCGAGCTTGACTTCCATGTATGTCTCCGTATTTGCAGGAGTCTAAATGCGCCAAATTAGTAGGTTTCAGGATTCCCACCCTGTAGGATCCTTTATTAATCCACTATGATGTTTTTTACCAAACTTAATCTCATGTTTTGAGTCTTTAGACCAAATATATTTTGTCTAAAAGATAGTAAAATTTCAGAATTAAAAATGCAAGGGCTTACCAATTATTTGTTAAAGGAAGCACCTTAAAGATAAGATAATTCAAACAAACCTTCTCAACAAGGTGGAAGTTGAATTTCTAATAGTAACATTATAGAATCGAAAAGATAGAGATCTACTAATTTCTTTTGAAGCATATTGTTAACTTCCTGTACTGTCTTTTAGAACTTCGAGATCACTGCATTTTTGTTTTAATTTTTGAACAAATAATTCATTTTCAGGACTCCAGATGAAGATTTTAGTATCCTTTTGGAAGCCGCAGTCATGTATGACAGGCGTGTTGCTGCCATTCTAGATGAGGATGATTCTATTTCTGACGAGTTTATCTGGAAAGAAATGTATAGTGGAAAGGAGTACTTATACCCTAGGTTATTATTCATCATCACCGGTAATTACTTTTCACCTACTGAAAAATTAGCATCCAAGTGACCTATCTAAATTAGAGATATTCCACTGTTTATAAAGGTAAAGGGCCTGAGAAAGAAATGTATGAAGATAAGATCAGTAGATTACACCTTAAGCGTGTGGCATTCCGTACAATGTGGCTGTCTGCGGAGGATTACCCATTACTTCTTGGTAGTTTGTAACAGCCTAAGATTTTCCTGCACGTTTTTTGTTTTGTCTTCCTTGACCAGTTTAATAATAGTATATTTGCATATGTACTATTTGCACAGGGTCAGCAGATCTAGGTGTTTGTTTGCATACTTCTTCATCAGGCTTAGACCTTCCCATGAAGGTATGTAATTTTTTAGTTGAAGCTTTAAACATCATAGTGTCCGGAAAGAAAAATGTTCATATGCCTGTCCATAGTTTCATTAGACTTGATCCTGAAAATGACCAATATGTGATCTTGATTAATAGGTTGTTGATATGTTTGGTTGTGGACTTCCTGTTTGCGCGGTTTCCTATTCTTGGTAAACTCTTTACCATATCTTTTAGCATGTGTGCCATGTAACAGTACATGCTCAAGGCACTTAACTCATGATTTGTTTCGATGGTTTAATTCATTTCAATCCCACAATTTTTTGCATGCCCCTAGCATCAACGAACTTGTGGAAGTAGGGAAGAATGGTCTCCTCTTTTCATCATCATCAGAGCTAGCAGATGAACTACTGGTAAGTTTGTTCCTTAAACGGGGCTGTTAAATAGGATCGTAGACAATTTATATACGAAAGATATAGTATTATGCTTAAAATTTTCCTTAGAGTTTAAAAAAGAAGGAAAAGATGCTTAAAATTTCGAAAATTAAAGAATGGAAAAGATGCAATATAAATATGCTTTATTCTACCTTGAACCCTTGCATGTTGGTAATTGACTAAATAATGTAGTTTGTATAAGGTGTCTAATTGGAGATATGATATAGTGCATACTACTTGATCAACGTTCTCAGTTATTTTTATTGTGATCTATACAGATGCTTTTTAGGGGATTTCCAAATGAATGCAGTGCTTTAAATTTGCTAAAGAACAGCACTGTGGAAATGGGTTCTCGTAGGTGGTCTACCGAGTGGGAGGAGCATGCCAAACCATTAATATCTCAGGCAAGTCTGCTATTGTTTCACCTTCTATGGTATTAGAGTCTATCATCATGTGCATTGTGCAATGTACATACAGAGTGTTGTTCTTTTATATTTTCTCAAGCACTCTTATTTCAGTCCTTCCATCAATGCCTTGGACATTTATTTTTGCTGCATTTGTTTAGTTTAACATTAAAACTCTGCTCAAGGTAAAGTAACAAAAAGAACAGTATAGGAAGTTTGGGCTTTGTCCGGTAAACAAGTACGAAGAGTATAGGAAGTTGTTACCTTGTCAACCAAATGTAGTAGGGTCAAGAGGTTGGCCTGTAATTAGTCGAGGTGTGTGCAAGCTGGCCCGGACACAGA